GGTTAAAGCAGGTCTGACTTAGCTGTGTCTGTTCTGTAGTTCCTTTTATTTTTGTGTTTGTTCCTTAAGAAATAAACTATTTGTTCCTCTTGGAATTCCCTTGGCTGCTGTTTTGAAGCCTTGGATGTAAGGTGGTGTGTTTCTTCTTAACTTTGGAGTATTGTTTGCTGAAATCTAATAATTGACAAGACATTTAGTAATGGAAATGAAAAATTTTGGGAGAATGGACTTCGTGTAAGAATAGGGTAAGTAATCTCAGGCTGCTGTCTGGGCCATAATTATATGTTCATCAAAGTTTGAATTTCTGGTGTGACAGAATTAGTGTCCCATACCAGTATTGAGGGTGTGCTGTGCCTGACAATATGTGGAGTGTGTCAGTCTCTGGAGCTGGAAAAGCAGTGGAAAGAGAGCTGTGGCAAAACAAGTTCTGGTAATAGCATGAGACTGTACAGGGGAGAAAAGAGATCAACACCAAGCCAAGTACTGGAAACAGTAAACTGTGAATCCTCTCTCACACTTTGAAATCTGGAGTTTGCTAACATTGCATTTCTGCCAGGAAAACTGGGGAGTGAGGAGGGTGTTCCCAGTGCAGGATAATGGCACGTGGAGGTGAGAGAAAAAACCTTGGAGTGCAGTGGAGTTTTAGGGGTATTGTTTCCTTGCTTGTATCCTAAACATTTCCCCTGGGTACAGTGCTGCTCTTGTGCCCCAGTTTTCCCTGTCTTACTTTAAGAACAGTCTGCCTTATTTGAATTTTCACTTATCCAGGACATTGACAAAGACATCTTTTGATAACTAAAGGGTAAAAAAGTAAGACTTACTGAAGTAGGATATTCCATTTAAAGCTACCATCTCTTCAAATACGCAAGCATCTTGTTGGAATATCTCAATAATCACCAATTCTGTGGGATTTCTAGAGCAGAGGAGCAAATCTTCAGTCTCCAAAAGTCCTGAAGTATAGGCATATTGGAATGCATTTTTTCCTAGCCCTGACATCTAGTCAGTAACTATCATAGGTAACCCACTAAAACCTTTTGGAGCAGAGTGCTGGCTCGGGGTGCATTTACTGCAGTATGTTTTAGCTGCTATTGCACATGACTCATGCTGCTGCTGAAATGAAATTGAGATAACCAATATTTGACTAAATCCTCACTGTTTCAATATGTGGCAAACATGACAGAATAGACTCCAACTGCTCTTTCCTGAGCTTAAGATAAGAAATTGCTGCAATTCTTGTAAGATATGACAACCCAGTATAATAAATAATAATAAGAAATTAATCAGAACTGTAGAATTGAAGTTATTTTTCCAGACTTACTGGGAAGAATCTCATCTTTCATCAGGAGAATAAATGTTTTGCTTTAGATTGGAAAGGGGGGGGAAAAAAAAGTCATGTCAGTTTACAATATAATCCTAATTTTTTCCAGTAATCAAATTTTGTCCCACTTAAGACTATTTTGGGGCCCTCTGTTACTGGAATAGCTTCAAATGTTCTTTGTTTCTGGCAGCAGTAGAATTTTTGGGAGGGCTGAATGGCAGCCTGTGGAGTTACAGCAATGTACATCACTAACTCCTGCCTGTGTTACTCACATCCCTTTTTCCTCTGCCAGCTGCTTATTGGATCCTTTGCTGAGCCATTTCACCCTTTCATTTGGCGTAAACTAGTTTGGTAAATGAACGAACTGCTCTTCTGTTTCTTCAGCATGCTGAACCACCGTGTGATTTGCCCAGGGAACAGGTGCCAGGCTGAAAGATGATGCTCTGGGAGTAGTTGGTAGCTCAAGAGGCTTGGGCTGCAGTGAAACCGTAGCCTTAGGCAGTGGACAGCTGGTGTCTGCACCTTCCAGCAGCTGGCTTGTCTTCATGCAGGCATGAAGGACCTTTCTGGATGCTTCTCTTGATATCTTGTGAAAACTACAGCCCACTGCTGGCAGAATGACTCCAAAAAGTTATCTTGGGTGATTTGGGGGTGGCTCTTAAAGCCTAATATGAGTTTACCACGCATGGCAGTGGGAGTTGCCATATACATTCTTTCTTAATAAGCTCTGGTATTTCTGTGAGCCCTTCCTTTCAATGTGTTTGGTGGAAGATACTGAGCTTCCTCACTTTCCTGGGATTCTCCCAGAGGGAAGAGTCAGGGGAGTTAAGTAGCTCTGTAAAATGTCCAGTAAGCTGTGGAGATTGCTGTAACCAGCTGAGAAAGGGGGAGAGGGCAAGACCTTCCTCTCTTTGCAGCAGCAAGTTAGTGCTTTGTAAGCCACCCTTAAATCTAGGTTGTATCCAAATATGCAAAGCTTGAGCATTAGAGAAATACAATTTGCAGGCCTCTTCCAACTTAACTTCTGCCACCAGTATTTTGCCACTTTCCCATTCTGTGTCAGTTGATAGCATTGTGTAAATCGTGTGGCATCATCAGGATTCTGTAAATTGTTCACTAACACCAAACATTTACTTGACATGTAGAAGCACAATTTTTTTTCTTAAGGCTCCGAATATAGGAAAGAGAAAGCGAGAGAAAAGCTTCTGAATCATATTGGTTTGATCCCTGCTTTTAAAATGCCAATTTCAAGTAATAAATAGAGCATGATTCATACTGCTTGCTGGAATTTGATGGTTTTGAACAAAATACCATCAATTGAAAACGTCTTGGTTATTTGTGGAGAGGTAATGTGACAAGTGCTTTTTCAGTAGTTGTGGTTGACTAACCTGGTTCAGCTCTCTGTTTTTAAAGAATGTACTCCAGCAAACCAGAGTTGATCTTTGTCACATTAAAACAAGTGTGGCTCTGGACAGGGGGAGGCTGGGAAAGCCTCCTTGGAAGCATTGACATGAAGAGGTGTTGGAGGTGACTGGATAATCCAGCTTGGGAACATTAGCATTTAGTGAAGCTTGAGCAGCTAAGCCTTAGGTATAAATAAGAGTACAGAAGGATCTTAGCAGGCCAGGTGTAACATGTGTCTCCTGCAGCTGGCACTGGCACTGCTACAGCTCCTGCAGAATTCAGCAAGGGTTGCTGGCACACTGGAAAAAGATAAGTTTGAACATGAGTTTAAGGCATATTTTAACTCCTAAAAATACATGCAGGTGCAGCTTTAACTTCTTGAAATTATACACTTATCAAATAACAACCTAATCAGAGTTTATTAATACAGACTCTTAGCTTATAGGGCCTAACCTGTGAAATCATAACAGAATCTATGTGACTGCTGCAGTAAGAAGTTGTCCAAATTTCATGTGTGCAGAAGTGCCATGTGAGACAGCTGCTGTAGTGATGCTTCTGACTTTGAAACAAGCCTGGGTAACCATGATGAAGGTTTGAAACCCTCTGTGTTTCTGGTTTTTAGCAGAGGGTAGTGCCTGGTGTTAAATGGGTCACAGTGATCACTATCATTCCCTCTAGCATGTGCCTGTACTGCAGGTTTTTTTTAATAAAGAAATAAGCAGGAAATTTTTGGAAAGAATAAGAACTTTGCAGGTATTTGTATTAAACTAACCCAAGTTGTCGTTGTCTTGACATAAGATTTGATTGCTTTTCTGTTTACATTTGGATGTAAAAAGCTATAGAATGATTAACTGCATATTAAACTTAGACTGTGAGATTTTTTTTTGTGAATTGTTTTGAATGTGTAGTGATGTGAACATTTTCGAAATATCCAAGATACTTTTCTGACTTGAGAAATCTTTTCTGTTAATATTATTTTAACCTTAAAAAACTTGAAGTTCATTGTAAGTATGAAAAACTGTGAACTCTGCTACAGATTACTTGCATTTTCTCTATAGAAATACACTTTACATGTTTGGATTTTTTTAGGCAAGTTATTTGTATAATTTTATTGCCGCTTGTAAAAACATACATTCTGTCCCAAAGTAATTTCAACAGAGTATTTCTCAAGGGAATTACAGAAAAGACATCTATCAGGAAGAGTTTGCAAGGCATGCAGAAAATAATAGTAACTGATCACAAGAAACTTTTCAGCACATTCCTCGAGTTTTTGTTCTCACATTGCTGTTACATGGAAAAGTACTGATATTCAAATAACCACATACAAAGGGTGTACTTTTTATAGTGAGGAAGAGTGAGAAGACAGATTTCAAATGCATACTAAAGGCTGGATACTTTTTAAAAAAGATAGCCTTCAGCTTTTATCTTAGTGTCTTTATATTATAGACTTCTGGGAATTACATTAGAAAAGTGTTTTTTCTTTATTGATACACAATTCCTTATTCTCAAGTCTGAGATCAGTCATGTTTGTCAGCTCAGTGTCTATAATTGACTTTTTATGGAGACATTTGAGTAATGCTATATGAATTTAGGGACCTACTGTTCTGATGAATGGTTGGGTGTTTTCCTTCCAGCATGTGCAAATGTGGATCAGTGACTGATCAGTAAAACTCTGGGCAAGTGATGAGTCAGGATTGTGGTAAAGCAGCAATATATTCCCTGGAAGTTAATCTAGGAAAGGTCTGACCTGCAGATAAATTTTACTTAAATCAGTTGTCAGTCTGTAATAGGAAATGTGTCTGTCATATTTGTAGTTTTGAAACTTGAGTGTCTCTGCTTCTGAACTGCGTGGTAGCATCTCAGTTCTGTGGATGTATTTCTATGCCACTAATTAAAAATACAGAAATTTGACCAATTGGAGATTTTGCAGATCAGATAAAGTAGTTTCCTGGCATTTGCTGTGACTTGTGACTGCTAAATAATTTAGTGTTTAAAACATAAATGAAGTGCAAAGAGGCACGACAGCATTGACAAAACCAGACAAGAATCAGAATGGCAATTTATTGAAAGAATAGAGAAGTGTGAAATGAGTGAAACAGTTGGCAAATCAGTTGCTTTTTGGGTGTTGAACGTGGAGGGGGGTTGCAGTGTGTTAAGCACTGCAGTGGTTATTCAGGTAGGGTTTGGGTATCACTGCAGAGATGGTTTCATGCTGCTGATGGCAGGAGTGTTAGTTGGTGATTCATAATCCAGCTTTAGCACAGAATGTCTCTTCAATTTTTCATACAGTGCTGACTATTTCTTTTAAGATTTAAAGCCCTTTTGTCATGCAGATAACAATATATCCTCTGTCAAGCTAGAAATGAGAACTTCCTTTGCTCATATGCAATGAAGGGCTTGATGTTACAATATCTTCTTGGTCCCTCAGTCATCTGTCCCTATAATCTCGTGCAAGTGTGTGCAGTTCATTTTGCTGTGCCCTCCACTTGAAGGACAGATTGGACACGTGGACTGGTTAGTGGAGAGGCAAACACAGCAGCCCTGAGCTAAGCTCTCCATTTGATGAGAAGAAAAAGAACCTGCTTAAAGCTGCTGCTACTGAATTAAACCAACTTGAAATTGGGTTCTGTGAAATGAGCCTAACACAGGACTCCTCTTGGGAATGGCAGCTCGTCATTTTTTGCAATTTGTTGAAATAGTTTGAGTTGGGGTAATTAATGCTCATGGTACTCAGAGCTGAGAGTAAATCTAACCTTAATTCAAAGGTGAGGCAGTTTTTGATTGGGGCAGTATTGGAAGTCCAGCTCTAGCTTCACTAATAGGAGAGAAGATCCTGGATTCCTTGCTAAGGTTGTTCTTGATGGATTTTCTGGTTAATAGATGAATAAAGTGAAAACTTTCTCTCTGTTCCAGTGTTCTTTTATTGTCCTGTCCCTCCAGCTTTGTCAGGACTGGGGGAGGTGTTGTCTGATACACCTCGGTTCCTATGGCCACGGTTCCTATGGCTTTTTCACCTGCTTTTGTCTCCCATCCATCACTGTGTCCTGAGAATAAGCAGTGCTCATTTCTTCAGCTCTTGGAAACCTTCCTGGCAAAAACCCAACGCAGTTGAGGGCATTTGATGGTTTAGGTCAGTGTTGGTGAGGATTTGAGCCACACAGTGTAACATGGCATCTGCCATAAAGATCACCTTCTCCTTGGTTTTGAGTAGGTGTTGGGATCAAACGGCCTCTAGAAGCCACTTCTAGTCTAAAGATGGAATCATTAAATGTGAATGATACCAGAGGTGTACGTCTTCATTTCTGGGAGTAGGTTTAATTCAGTGGAGCAGAAAATGTAGACCTTTCTCACATTGTTTCCTTTTTTTTCCCCCTAGAGCTGGGGAGGGGCAGCCAACAAAGAAACTGGTGACTAGACATGTGCTTGGCTGGGTGGATCTTAACTAGCAAAACTAGTTGGAATCTTCAGATTTCTTTTATATGCTTAGGAGATATTTATGTATAAAATGTGTAACTATTGAGTGATATCAGCAAGTGTTATTGGGAAAGGCATTTTAAATAGGAACACTAATGAGTTCATGCTGATTAAGAGATGGATACTTGAGTAGAGGAAGATTGCATTGTGAAGTGAATGCATGTTTTTGCTTCTTGTTAGTTGAACTGTTAGCTGTAAATGAAATACACTTCAATTGTCAACAGCCACAATTTTTACCAACTGAAATTTCAGCCAGGGTTTCCTATTCAGCTTGGTTACCTGACACGGTTTCAAATAATAAGCTGCTTGCTTCTTACATGCTAAACTCCACGACCTGGGCTTGCTGTGCTGTGGATGGGAGGTGTTAAGTAGAGATTGGTGCAGTATCTTCTCCCAGGAGTCTTTATTTACATCTGCAACCTGCTCTGAGGTTTGCTCCTTGCTGTTCCTGATCAGGCAGCAGTGGGACTGGTGACTTGTGTTTAGGGAGGCCTCACTGCTGAAGGATCAGTGTGTGCTGCTTACAGCAGCTGGGTGAGGCTTCACTCAAACTTAATTCTGAGTGTCTGCTCTGTCCTGAAAAGCAAAGCTCGGCTTTGGGATGATGGGAACTGAACCTGCTGAATTCTTTTTGCTGATCTTTCCACGGAGCTTTGGAATGCTGTGGCCATATTTTGTCTGGAGTTATACATAGATGACCCTTTCTAGAGGTCAGGAAACTGTTCCAGGGTGGGAATTAGCTGTTTTGGGAGACTGCTAAAGACCAGGAAAAACAAGCTTCCATTACTGTAATAAATGTTTTATCTTGGGACATGTGTAAGCTCCAATATGATTGAAGTTTTCATAAAATCTAAATACTTTTTACTTGTAAGAATATAATGTTTAGAAAGCAATGTCATGCTTTTTTGCCTTTGTTTTAGGAGATGTAGGGAGGAGCAAAATATAAATGAGTGCTTTTTCAGAGGAGTCTTTTTAAATGAAAAGGGAGTGCTGGTGACTGAGAAGGCAGTTGTCTAACTTAGAAAGCCCTTGAGCTAACTTTGGGGATTAAATGTGGTATTTGATCCTCAGCTAATCTCTTTCTAACAGAGTGCAAAATGTAATCGTAGAAAGTAACTTTTGTGTGCCTGCACTTCTGTTGTAAAGTGTTTAGGCTCCACAAATCAAAAAGGACAGTGGTGCCTGAACTCTTATTTTCCACCAGTTGGCTTTGTCTGTTCCTGCTCAAGGCAATGAACTTCAGGTTATGATATTATACTGAGGTGAAATCTATGCTGTAGCCCTTTGGAAAATAGAAATGTTTTTCCACTTTCCCATGTTTAATGCTGTGTAAACCAGAGTGTTGCTGACCTTTTGCAAGGATCACAAAGACTTTAGCTCTTATTTCTCTTTGCAGTAAAAATTGCATGATGTGTATTCAGGTCAGAGTCTCAGAGCAACTTGAGATCTCAGAAACCAAGCAAAGACTAACAATTAGTTGAGATGTCCAAAATAAGGTTAAGATTGGTAGTGCTTCAAAGTTTGTTTCTGAAGTTTAGTTGTATTCTTAGCTTTAAGGTATTTCCTTTATGACCTTTAAACCAGCTGTGTATCTCTACCCATATATAGTGGTATTGGGATAATATTTCTGCTTTAGCCCAGAGGAACCATATTTACCTAACAAATATATATAGAAATGAAATCATGCAAAAGAAATATAAAAGCAGCATAAATCTGCTGTCTGCTAAATATGGTGAATACTCAAACCTGAATGCCAGATATCTTTCAGAACACTTGTAACTAAACATAAACTAGGAATCTTTCCAAGATATTGTGTTGTGTGAGATCTCCATCCTCATGTCTGTTCAATCATCAACCTGTTTGAAAAGATTTACATTCTCTTTTAGGGCTGAATTTATTGAGTGCAGAGATCAACTCTTATTTTTCAAAGCTTGTGCATGTTTCCCACCTGCAATTTCTTGTTTGCAGCATATGAGGAACAGCTGTGGAAGAGGAAATCTGGAAGAGGAGCTTGTCTTGGACGTGCTTTTCCCAGGTTCTCCTTTGCTCTTTGGCTCCAAGCTCTAGGCAGTGGCTGTGCTCTTAGGGTTTTCCCTCACTTCTTTTGCCTCCTTGCCTCTGAAATGACAGGAGAGGCACAAAGAGGTTGCAGGAGTAGGTTCACCACTGCCCTCAGAGCAGTTTCTTTGGGTTACTGGAGATGGTTTGAGGATCGGGGCAATATTGCAAATGTTTAGCTGTTGTTCCCAGCACTCAGCCTGGGATATTTGGGCACACTGATGTGCAGTGTATGTGACATGCATGTGACATGCATGCTTTCTTCTCAGTCCTACCTCAGCTCCAAAATGAACTGTTTTCAGTACACATGCTACAGGTGTGCCAAAAGTGCCCTCTGCCTGCATATTGCCATCCCTCACATGCACCTCTGCATCTCTTATGTATTGCTTGTCACTGGAGAGCAGTCAGACCACCCCAGTGGGTTTATGCTTTGTTGGTTTTCCTCTTGTTTTCCATGAATGATGCTAAATATTGTCATTTCCTCTTGCTTTTGGATGAAGAGGAGTATAGGGAAAGCTTTATTCTAACTTGTCTGCATTCTGCTGTTGATTTAAGTTAATTCTTTTATGGAGCCATGGAAGTACTTGGGTGTTGTATGATTTTAAAATTTCTGGGAGTTCTCCCTTTGGTACTGAGAGAGGTATCCTGGTATGTGCCTGCTTTAGAGCATAAAGTTTGTCTTTTTAATTTTCCTGATTTTTTTTCCTTTTTAATTGGTGTAGTCTTTTCCTCTCGTATCCATTTTAACACATTTTGTCTGTGAACTCAGCTTTCAAATCTTGTTAACAGTGGTCAGAGGAGCTGTCTGCTGTTCCTGGAGAGGGTGCTTTGGCAGGACTGGGCTGTCTTTTCAGTTCCTTTTCTTTTCAGGAATCCAGACAAGGTTTTGTAAGCAGTGTCTGCTGATGCACTGATACTTACAGACCTCTTGTCTGTTCTTTTGTGCTCACTTTCCTTATTAGTGTTTCCATCAGTGTGTTTCCAAGGCATTTGCAGCTTCCATCCTGTGCTGCCAGTGGTTCCATGTGGGACTGCAGGAAGAGCCTTGGCTGACAAGGGGTTTTGGTACACTTCATGCAATGTACCTCCACACTTTAATTTCTGACAGATATTAATCTATTACCAGAGAGTTTTAAGACCAGTTTAGAAACAAACAGCCCAACCCATTTCTTCACTATTCTTGCTATTAGAAAGGATTTGCCAACAGCAGTTCTGTTGTTCAGGTTTATATGCCTGTTATTTTGCACAACTAAGGCTATCTAAAAATTGTGATTTCTTCTACATCATGGGTTTGAGTGTTCAAACTCACTTGTTTTGTATTGGAATAACATGCACAGCAACAGCAAGAAAATGTAGAACAAAAATGTATGGAAGCTGACATGCTGTATTTTTTTCTAAAGATGGATCTTCTGAAAACAGGCAGAATTAGTTGCTTGTTTTGTGTGAGAATCACTGACTCTTCCCACACTTCATTTCCTCTAACCTTTGTCCCTGTACCCATATCAGTGCATTTAAAATATCCAGTTCCATGCTGTCTTTGTGGCTTTTGAGGTCAGAGTAGATGCTTTTGTGTTGGGTCATGATGCCTGTGGTGAGTCATTCTTTTAAGTATATACTCAATCTCTTTCTCAGTATATTCTCACATCCAAAATATTCGACCCCATATTCTGAAAAATGGCTGTAATGACTTGTTTTGGTGGTTATGTGCATGAAAAATTCCAATCTGTATTCCTCTGTGGCAGCAGCCAGAGCTTCCTCTCACAGAATATTAGTGAGTTTGGAGTATATGCTCTGCTCCTTGACAACTTCTGTGCTGAATAAAGTTTTGAGGAAGAGCAAAAGGGCTAAAATAGCTTTAAAACAACTTTCCAGTCTCATTAGGTGTATGCAGTCTTCAATTATTTTATTTTCAAATATGTCACTTTGCATTTCACTGGCCAGTCACAATCAGGATTCCTTGACATTCAGTAATCTCTAGTTCATAATACTCATTTGGCATTTTAAATCAAAGTACTCCTCAAGCATTAATTAATACTGTTTCTTGTTTCACTTGTGTGATGCTGGTAAATGTTTGAACTGGGTAAACACCATGAAAAACTTCAGTCTGTTCATTTACATTTTTTAATAAACTGCTTTGCTCATGGCACTTTCATGTTTGCATTGCACAAACAGTGAGTGATTGAGTCTTAGAGACATAAATGATCAGAGGAATGGTACTTCAGTTTGGAAGGGAAGTCACTGGGGTCTGCTGAGGTCCTGGCTCATTTATGGGTGCTGTGGTTTGAGAAGTGTCTGTGCTCCAGGCAACCCTTTGTGACACTGCTGCTGTTGTGGGGTGTTCTGGGGTACCCCTTTACCTCACTGATGGGAAAGGAGCTATTGGGAGACTTTGTCCTGTGACATACAAGCTCCTCAGATCCCAGATAAATTTTCAAATGGCAGAGCAGGTGAAGAAGTAGACTAAGTTGCCCTCAGTAACTGGGAATTCAGAAGACATTTTTGTGGGCAGATCCCTATCCCTGGTCCCATCCCTATTGGACTTACTTTAAGTAGAGTGATTAAGGAAAAATTCTCAAGATTTATTTTGAGACTTATTTTTTGTGGTCTGAATGGTTTGTTTTCTCAAGTGACATCTGTAACACAAGAATTAAATTAATTTTGCAGAATTGTATTTGTTAATGGTATTAGTCTAAATGGCAATTGATGCTGTCATGAACAAAGTTAATTCAGAATAAAATGAACTATCCTAATGTAATACCTGCAGTGAAGGGCTAGATAGCAAAGCCTTCCCTCTGGATACCAGAAGTAACCACAGTTACTGGTTTTAGCTTTCCAGGGATCTATAGCACAATTATTTTTCATCTCATTGTGGGCTTTTGTTTTCCCTGAAGTGATCTAAAAAGCTGGTTTATTGGTAATGCA